CCCCATTGGACTGCTGGTTAGTAGAGATTAATGGTTGATAAATTCATGAAAGACGTTCACAAACTAATTCCCATTTCAGGTGTCTCCCCAACCCCTTGGCCTTACTACAGTTTCTAAATTCCCAACAATAGTAACTCATATTATTTGGTGAACTCTAGTCCTAGATATGATAAATATCCTTTAGTCTCTGTATCAAACTTATTCTCATCACACACTTGAGAGATAAGGACAAATTTCTTCATTTAGAGATGGAAATTCAGAGTTCAGAGAGCATAAATCTCTTCTTTTAACAATTGATCCAAATGCTCTATGAGACAGCACACATGCTTCAAACAGCAATGCACTACAGCACACGCCAGTGAGGTGCAGTATAGTACATGCTACTTTTTGTCTATTTATCTTTCCTGCTCTTGGCCTCATTGGATAGCAAATTTCCCTACATGTACTTCCCCTGAGAATATCAGAGAGTATAATAAATAATTTAAAACATGAAATAAAATCATTCTTGTACTCTCTATACTTGGAAAATAATATAGGTGAATTGCTTTATGATAATGCTACCAATCTTTGGATGATTGACAGATTTCATATACACATTTAAATTTAGGCTTGATGAAAAGGGGTTGCCATGATTTTTAGTTTCTTATCCTTATAATTTTGGGATTTTGGAATGATATTTTTCTGAAATGCTACATCTGAAGTCATGCTTTAAAATGCCATCCTGGTGAATAAAGTTAATACATTAAAGTTGGTACTACATGTATGCACATCCAATGTCTCTAAATTAGGAATTTGTCTCAAAAGGTCTAAGTAGAGCTACATATTCCTTCTCCAAAATCCAAAGAATATTCTAGAAGCATTACTTTGCAGAAAACTCTAAGAGGTGCTTTAAGAACAATAAAAGCTCATAGTTCAGGACTTGAGACTCAGTTGAGGTTATAGTATGTGGATCAAATCTCCACACCTTTGTCAAGAGACAAGGAAGGGACGAATAGATTAAAACAAAGAGTTTTTTTCCAGGGATAATTTCTATATTAACATACAGTTCACTCCAATGCTCATTTAATTCCTGATTTTTGAAAATACATGGATACTATCAGCAGGAAATGTCTGTAACACAGAATGACCCTTACTTGGAAATGTGTTTCATGTACTAAAAGGAGCAATCTTTTACCATTCACATTTTAGAAACAGGACTTCTTTATATGATATAATATAATCTGAAATTTTTCTTGCTTGAAGTTTGAGTTAAAGACTGTTGACAATCATTCTTTATTTGCCACCACCCATGGACATGAAGAGAAAAGGAAACAATTCAAATTCACATAATAGGAATAATAAAAGCGTATCATAAATGCTGGCAACATCCAAGCTCCCAGCCCCTAAACAAGTGTATCTTGCTGTTGATCAAGTCATCTCCACAAATCCTCTTGTGGTAGTGCACACTTGTAATTCCAGCTCACAGGAGATGTTGGTAGGATGGTACTAAGCTCCATAATGAGATCTTGCTCAAGAAATAAAGCAGTATCCACAAGACATTTCCCATTGTCTTCATCTTTCCCTAGAGAGTTCTATATACATTTTGAGGTCTTGGTGTTTTTGAGGCTACAGGAGGCCACATGCTGGCTCAATTTATTTCTTTTACCTGCCTCATTCTGATCTTTTAAGGTATCATCCTTGAAATATTGTTTAATTCATCTAATGACTAATTTGAATCTGCCCTTTGAGCATCTTTACCTCTGATCCCACCTGTGTCTTCCCCTGCTGATCCAAGGCTCATTGCTAGCCTTCTAGATAGTTTAACAATGACTCTTATATGTTCATCTCAGTTTCCTTCAATGGCAGTTCACAAACATTCCTTTCTAATAAAAGCAAGTTCACCAATTTTAAAACAGAAATGAGTTTGTTAATGCCCATAAACTCTGTTGATGCCTTTGACTGCCCTCCAGAGGAATAATTTTATCATCACTTAATTTGTCTATGGCTTCTGCAAGTCAGCACCCTCTCCCCAATCTAACACAAAGGATCAGATCACCCTGGTCATTAAAAAAATAAAACATTTTCTGTGGAAAATGGTAAAATGACAAAAAAACAATCCAAATATGTAAGAGATGCCCATATTAATATCCAAAAATAAATGACTTAGAATATTCCATGCTGTATACCATTTTGTTTCTATGATAGTGTTCTTATCCATATCCTAATCATAAATCTATCTCTAAAATTTCAATGGGATATTGTTATTTCTAGTATGTTGTCTTTGAAAACAATTGCACTATACACAATAGTTTTTCCAAGGTTGGTTATGGTGTTCTAAATTATTATTCTTATTTCTTCCTTAATTTTAGCTTCAATTTATTGTTTTTAGGAAGGGATTTCTTTTCATGAATGTAGAATATTTTTGAAAACACATATTTATTTAATGTCCACCTCTTGAAAATTAAATGGTTAAACTCTATTTTTAGATTTAATAATTTATTTTTTGTTTCATTGTTTTGCCTGATTTGATAACCCTTTCCACATATTTAAGGTATTTTGTCCTTTTGCACACTTCCATACTTCATAGTTTGGAATTAAAAACAAATATCTCCAAACAAGTCTACAGTTATATAGAGTTACATTCCAACAATCATGGTTTCTTATTAGCCAGTAGTAGTGGCTGGACACAAATACACAGTCACAGGTGCCATCGTGTCCCACGTTTGTTTATTAGCACAGTGAATACTTCCCAACAGGTCACATGGTAAGACAGCCTTTTATTTGTATTGTATTAATATCATCAATTCTTCTGACTTATATAAGACAGGAAATTTCTCCCAACTCTCTCCCATGAAGCACCATTTCTTGTCTCAATTTTATATCTCTGGGTCAGGTTCAAAGGATCTCCCAACTTGAAGAGGATCCTGCATTCTTTTCATTTTCCTCTTATCTCTCAGTTGACATCAGTTTGAATTCTGTTTTCTTTCTTAGGCTAAGTGTTTCAGTTGCATGTGATTTACACTCAAGATACTTGTTTAGCTCAAGCTACTCTTAATTTATTAATAAACAGAATAACCCATCTTAAATATTTAATTCAAAGCTTATCTACCCTATTTATGATCAACTCAACGCTAACTTGTTAGCTCCAAGTTCAGAGGATGAAAATAACCTAGGAGATTGATGGTTTGGAGGCATGGAGACTAACCTTATCTCATTTCCCAGAATCCACATAAAAAGGTCAGGTACATTTACACGGGCTTGAAATTTCAGAGCTTTGAAGGTGGGCACATGAGAATCTCTGGGACTTGATAGCCATTCACTCTTGCCAAATGGACCAGCTCCAGGCCCAGAGAATCCTTGTGTACACAAAGAAACAAATCAAAAGGTAGAGAGTGACTAAGGAAGACAATGGGTGTCAACCTCTGTCCTCTACATGTCTACATAAACATGAAAATACATGTACAACACATATACCAGCACTGTACTACACACACACACACACACACACACACACA